ATAATAATAATAATAATATTTTTTTAAAGCAGTTAATGATTCCAACAAGGAAACTCATATTATAATTACCTTAAAATATATTCTGACGGTTCTAAGAATTTAAAAGGGTGTGTGGGAATAGGAATATATGTACCAGAGTTCAAAATACACATTTCTAAAAGAATTTCAAATCAACTATCTGTTTTCACAGCAGAGATGGTGGCAGTTATACTGAGTTTACAATGGGTTGAGGAGGTCAGACCCTACAGGGTGGTGGTCTGCACGGATTCCAAAGCAGTTTTAGAAAGTATTCAGGGAGAAGGAAATAATTGGAAAGATTTAGTATTAGAAATTCAGTACAGTTTATTTAGATTATACAGGAGTGGCATTGATATTTGGTTTTGTTGGGTTCCAGCACATGAAGGAGTAAAAGGAAAGGAAAAGGCAGACTGCAGTGTGGACCAACGTAGTGGAGGTACATTTTCCCATGAGACTGGGTTGTATGTTTTTACTCTCAAAGAAAATAAAAAAATTGAAAACCACATGAAAAAGTCAAGAAGTTCTTCTTTTTTTTTTGGTCCATGTGTAATAAAGCTTCTTCTCTTTGTACAACAGCAGCTTTCATAGAGTCCCATGAATCCTTTGAATTGCTCGATATATGAAGCTATGTTCAGGATTGTCTTAATGTTTCCTCCTGGTCTCCTTCAACTTTTGATTCAGTTCTTTTTGCAGTATTCTTATAATTGTATTTATTTAATTTTTTTCATTAAACAGATTTGATTTTATACTTTTAATACAGTTCTTTACATATGTAAGGTTTGTTGTTTGAAAATACTTGAACCACCTTTTTGGAGGCACATTACTAACACAGAATCTTATATAGTATGTTAAAAATCAAAACCTGGGCTATGAAAAAAGTCTCAGTTTTTACATAAAAAAAGAGTCAATTAGGGTGTTAGGACATCTTAAGACCAAACTTAATCAAATATGGTTTTATAAGTATGGATTGAGTATACTGCATTTTGGTCAGCGTTAAATAGAGATTAGTTTAATTTTGCTTTGAATGCCTTTTTTGTTTCCATACCATTAATCTATAACCCTTTTGTCAGGACTCTAGTGCACTTGACATACTGTTCAGAATGAGGGAGAGATAACTCCATCCTAAAGTTATTAAAAAAAACTTTACCTCTATGATTCTGAATTACTAAAGCATTATAATAACCAAAAGCAATAAAGGAAAATGCTAGTTAATGGTTCAATGATGAATCGTTAAAGGCTATTAGCCCCTAATATTTAAAACAAACAATTGGGCTTAACACTTATCAATTATCAATGAAAAGAGGCAGGTAATCAGTCCGGACTGAGTTAATTTGACTTGCAAATGTTAATACCCTTAATTATGATCATGATTGGAGTTTCTAATGATCAGCCAGTAAACATAAAAGGGATGGTGTCTCTGTATATCGGCTTTTAACTTATAAAAGATAATTCAATAACATTTGGAGACAAATTGAACACTGATATGGAATAACCGAATACCACAATTAAGCTATTTTGAATTTATTGCCAATAATTTCTTATGACAGCAATAGACAGGTTACAATGTTTGGTTAATGGCACTGCTTGAACATACTACAAACTACTAGGATAAACAATAAAAGAAAACAAAGCAGTAAACTGGGTGATTTTGAGGTAGTTAGTCCTCATGGTAGCAAAATTAGTAATCCTATAAAGTAGCTTTCGATAAGTTAGTTTGGTATGCCAGAATTGATTTAGGTCTCTGTGATTATCAGCGTGCTCCACTCCCAACTCTCAAAACCTAACTTGGTGTTGGCGTGAAGGTCTTCCATCTTATATATCGGAGACAGGGCATTGCATAGCAGAACCATAGGCAAGGGTAAATGGGCAAGAAGCTTATTTTCTTGTTGGGAAATTTGACATTTTGACAGAAGTCTTAAGATAATGATTGTAACAAAGATTGTGCAAGTGCTGGGTAACATTTTCTTTTTTTATTGTATGAAATCAAAGACTGCATTTACATTTGTTAGTATACTTTATACTGTGTTACCTTAACTAAAAATAATCAGATACATCAAGCAAAGAATTTTATATCAGTTTATTCTAAGACAGGTAACCAGGTTGCGATTCGCCATGATGGTCTACCATCTTAAAAATACAGACTCCGGTAAGGGATAAAATAGTCCTAAGGGGTGGAATAACAAGTTGGATTGAACCATCCCCAAGAAAGCGAAAAAGACAAGGTTGCTTGTCACAGTAAATGCCAGCTTGTAGAGACTTCACTTTTGATGACATGGTTACATCTGCTTTGTCAGGGCAGTTGACACACAGCAGTGACGTGCTTGAGTTTAGTGTTCGTTCAGTATAAAATGGATGCTTTCAAAATTTAAATTTAAAACATTAAAGGTAATGGCAGCAATGGCACACTATTCCAGGTCGACACATAGGACTACCGCATTGTACAATGCGATTGCAATCATTGTAGAGTTTCTTAAAAGAAACATTTTGTAAAAATACTTTGATACAATACAAAAAAATATTTATACATCTTTATAATAAAAAACATCAGAGGTTAAATATGAAAACAATAAGTTATTACAAGACCACGTGCCAAAATCACTATACAGCCATTCTGAAATGAAGCAACAGAGGCCCCCTCTCAAACTGTGCAAACTTCTCGCATAAGCGACATCATCTGCTCTCTAAATATGAAAAATTGTTTAATTTTTTTGAATGCTAATGTTCATTTTTGACATTTTAAAACTTTTTTGAATTCAACCTTTGTTTTCTTCTCATACCTATTTTTAAAGGAAAGTTAAATGACCAAAAGATACACAGACCAATTTAAATGTATGTTATATGTATGAAATGAAGTCAGTAAAATTGAAATGATTAAAAAAATAATTTAACTTTCTTTAGTTTGAACTGCTGCAATCTCTCAGGGAAAAGCTGTGAAGTTCTTTCTTCAGTTCTTGGCTCTCAAGCTTTGAGTCTAAAAGAACTGGACCTGAGTAACAACGACCTGCAGGATTCGGGAGTGAAGCTTTTATCTGTTGTACTGGAGAGTCCACACTGCAAGCTAGAAATTCTCAGGTGAGGCAAGAAGCATTCTATATCCTGTTTGTTTATTTTTTATATCATTTTTCCAGTTTACTTTGTAGCCTTTATATTATTTCATAAGCTGTTATACTCAAATCAGAGCAATGGCGTAACGAAACAACAATTTTTAAGCAACATTATCTGGGTGGGCCTCATATGAAGTACAACACCCCATCAGCTTTTTCTCTGGTTTTCAAGAGTTTTGCATAAATTGTTTATTATCTAAGCTATTATTTATTAATCTAAGCTACTGGTTTCTAGATTAATCTAAATACTGAAACCATTTGAATATTTTCTTATCTCAACTTTTTATGGAAAAAAGCTGACCTTTCTGTGTGTAGATTGTCGGGATGTTTAATCACAGAAGACGGCTGTTCTTCTCTGGCCGATGCTCTGAGTTTGAGCCATTCCAACCTGAAAGAGCTGGATCTGAGCTACAACCATCTTGGAGAGCATGGACAGACGGAGTTGGTGGTTGCACTTTCTGATCCCAGGTTTAGACTAAACACTCTCAGGTATGGAGATAATTGGTGCAGAAACTATTTGATGGAGGAGAAATATAAAAAAAAAACACATCCAGTGTATAGCCGCTCTAGTCCCCTATGCCTAGGAAGGCATAGGGGACAGCAGAACTTTATCAGAAAAGGACATGCAATAAAAGTCTAAATATTGTTACTGGTAAATATTCCATATAGACGTACTTCCCCCGAACTATTTAGAGGTCAGAACACAGATTTTTTTTTTTCCAAAACTGAAAAAATAATCTTGTAAGGAGTCTTAAAGATGGACAGGCATGTTCTGAGCATGACCATAATTAATGTGATAAATTGGTTTTTTATTTGTACAAAGTTAACAAATAATTCTTCGTTTTTTATAATAATTACAGTGTATGCTTGTTTCTCCATTTACACCAACCCTCTGAGACCAATCCGTGTCTAGTTCAGACTGAGCTTGGATCAGTTAACCGTGCCAAGCTTGGCTCTTACGACCATTTACACTTCACATTAGCACAGTTCCTCGCCTCCTATCAAAGGTCCATGATGCTGCAGCTCTCAAGGCGGGAATTAGGCAAACAAAAATAGTGGCCCCCTTAACACTCAGGAACTTATGTTTATAATATTATTGAAATTTCGTTGTTTGCGAAATGTCAGTTGAAGGAGGCTTCTTTCTCGGCCTCGGCATCATCCCAGGTCCCATCATGCTCTTTTGATGAAATTTATAGTTAATAGGCTGAGATGAAGTTTGTGTTGTGAACAGATGAAGAGATCTTTAAATTGCAAAGCGGGACATGCCGGAAAACCTGTAAAATAAGTCAGCTGACTGTAAAATGGCTAATGTAAATGGGGTATAAGTTATACTTAATATTGCATTGCTTAATTAATTATAAATTTATATTGAATGAAACTGCATTAAACATAATGTAAGCAAGAGCTACAAATATTTATACACAGCCTGATCACAGGCCTACATGTTATAAAAAACATGGTTTAGTTTTTCACCCTCTCATTTATATACTATATTATTTCCCCTGCTAATTGTATTGGCAAAAGGCATTGGACACAATCTGACTCGCAGCCAGCTTGATTGTGCCCAAAACTATTCTTTCTCTGTGGAAAGTGTGGACTTAAATGTTGATCTTTCCAGTAATGCCTTTAAGGTGTATTTACATCTAATGCAAATAAGATGTAAACATGGGAGTTTACAATTTACAGTAGTAGCCATTCCAAATGTCCCCCCTTTCCTTGATGGGCCCATGGCTGGTCCCCTACAATTCATTTTTAAATAACTAAAATATTCTTTCTCTCATGAAGAAGAAGAAGAGAAGCATCATTTCCTGGTCAGACCCTGTAATTGAGTGAAAGGGTGGAGTCAGATTAAAGAAATATGCACGCCCAGGAGAAGGCCGGTGGCTGGAAGTTGGAGGGGATTTTGCTGCCATTCGGCTAACTTTTCACTGGGGAAGTCCATTTTGAATGGCTGCAACTATATATAATAAATTTTACAACGAATTGGCTAAGGACTGCTGCTGAGTGGAATTAAGCAGAGCTTGGGATTAAAGCAAAGGAAATAGAGCAAAATAAGGGCAACGGAGCCTCTTGCAAAGATGGAGGAGTTGAAAACTGGGAACTATATGTGTCACAAATACCAAAGAGGCACTAGATGTGGCTGTGATATAGGGGGAAGGAGCACAGTGGAGACAAGGTAAAAAAAAAAAAACATAATAATGTTCACAAACCAGGAACTAGTAAATACTCTTAAGAGGTTTTTAGGTGACTTAAAAAAAACAGTAAAACTTTAACCCAAAACCTAGTGTAGGGAAGGCTTGTTATGGTTGTCCTTTGGTCTGCTATTTGAGTAAGGTTCAACACACAACACAGAAACATTCTTCGTCATCGGATGATGATTCTTTGATACATTGATTCCATTTTTGGTTTTCTTTTCTTATTTATCCTTTTAAAGCAAGAGTTTTTTCGTTCTTTGAGTTAGTTTGTTTTCTCTTTTAATTCTCTGTTCAAAAGGAGAATCAGTGAAAATGGAACTGGAGATTAGTTTTCTTCTTTGGTTCTTCACTTGAGGTCCAGCTTTTGGGAATGGATGCTGCCCCATTAATGTATGTCTGAGTGTTCTGTCTCCAGAACTTATTGATGATTCCAAAGAAAGATAGTTAGCATGAAACTAAGGGATTTCTGCTGCATTGCACAGCATCCCCAGAGAATGCACTTCATTCTCAGTTAGTGTTGTTCGCTGTTTTAATACCAGTGTTGGATTAGGATTAGGCCAGTCTGTCACATTAGCTTGGACAAATGCAGTCTTAGGAAAAACATCTCTATCAAATGAAAAGATACCACTTTTCCTGAAACCAGCCTGAATATTCTCCACATTGCTACTAGAGGGAAAGCTTTGGCAATGATTTTTGGTATTCCATAGATGCTCATGGTTTTTTTCAGGATTACACAAGATGCATTCACCTGACGCAGTTTTGATATGCCTCTTCAATGAGCCGAAAACTGATAGATCAAGAGCCTCGAGATGGTGGGATGAGTCTCAACAAAGATGGAAAAAACCCTTGCTTCAAAAGGATAAAGAAAAAAATAAATCTCGACTATTACATGATTTTCTGACTTCATTTGAATCATTTATCCCATTTGTTTAGCACTTAATTTATTGTTGATGCTCTTATAGTGTTTTATAAATTAAGCTGACTTGACTTACCTAAAAATCCTGTTTTGCTTTTTCTAACTTCTGATCTGCTGTAAATAACTATTGGATTTAAATCTATCATCAAACTTTAAATCCTTCATATGCATTTTATTCCTATCGAAGCTTTACAGTTGTGGTGCTTTGTTTTGCTAAACTTTATGATGTCCATAACAAGTCAGTGATCTGTGTACTGAGCCATGTAATGTCCATGTTCGCACACTGAAAGAGATGATCTGACGCTCCTCCTCCTTTCAGGGTGGAGCCTAATGGAGTCCAGTGGATGACACCAGGTCTAAAGAAATGTAAGTTTTTTTATCATTTGACTCAACCATTTTTAAACTGACTTCACCCATTCAGGAGTAATCATCAAAGTCTTCATGAATTATTATTTACTGCAGCTGAAGTTTTTTCTCTTCGTCAGATTCCTGTCAACTCACTATCGACAGAAACACTTTGAACAGAGAGCTCATACTGTCTGACAACCGCAGGAAAGTGACCCGCATGGGGAAGAGTTTGTCTTATGCTGATCACCCAGACAGATTTGATGTTCCTCAGCTGCTGTGCAAACCTGGTCTCACTGGTCGTTGTTACTGGGAGGTTGAGGGAAAAGGAGAAGTGGATATATCTGTGAGCTACAAGGGAATCGGAAGGAAAGGATACAAGAATGATTGCTGGTTTGGGAAGAATCAACATTCCTGGAGTCTGTCCTACTCTGATACTGGTTATTCCGTCTGGCACAATGCCAAAAAAACAACCGTATCCTTCTCAACCGCTTCTTCCCATTCCACCTTCTATGTCACCAACAAGGTAGCAGTGTATTTAGACTTTCCAGCAGGTGTTCTTTCTTTTTTTAGAGTCTCATCTGACACCCTGATCCATCTGCACACCTTCAGCACCACATTCACTGAACCCCTTTATGCTGGATTTACAGTCTTTCCTAATTCATCAGTGTTCCTGTGCTGAGGTTGCAGAGAAACCATCTATCTGTTGAACACATTATTGATGGAAGCAACGGTCCTTTTGAGTTACCTGAATCACTAGAATCACTATAATAAAATGATTTGTTAGAGATAATCATTCACCAAACCCTTCTGCTAATGCATCTAGTTTTGCTTTTGCGATTAAAATGAACGTCTTGGTCACATAAGGACTCACGCTGGCAGCCAACACTGGGCTGTGTGTAACAGCGGTTACAGGTCAGGCACAGTTAAACAGTTTCCAACCAGACTATTTGGGTTGTTGACTTTTTTATCAGTTGACGTGTTTATTGTTGTGTTAAACAAGCTCACATGAAATTAATGGTGACCACATGGTACCCTATGCTGGCATGTCTTGAGCTGTTGTACATAAAGCTGAAAAAAAAAAAAAAAACTTAATTTCTCTAATGGTTCAATCCTTATGAGTACAGAAGCCGAGAGCGGTCGTACTCGACTTTTTTTTGCTTTGCCTTATTGAGTTATTTGTATTACAATCTCGTTGTCATGGTTAAACCATTAATTGTTTTCTCAAGATAGCAACATAATTATCTTGTGATCACAAGAAAACAGTAATTGATATCTTCAGATAACGAGATAATGAACCTGTATAAGTAATGAATGAGGCTGGCCAACAGCCCTGGATTCCCAGTCCATCCATGCCTGCGGTGCCGGTGGTTGTGCAGTCACTGTACCACGTGGGCACAAATAATCAGTTTTTTAGTTTCCTTTTTCGTTTGACTCATCGTCAGGTTGTGGTGAATGATTGGATTGCATAGGACGCAGTAGAAACAAACGGACAGGTTTTTATTTGTTGTTTTTATAAAAATCTTTAATCAGGACTAATTTTGGTGGTTAATACATCTTATACCTGTTACAGGGGTAACACTGGGGCTGTTCAGAAAACACCCGGTGCTAGACCCTGGAGGCATAGGTATAATTGCTTATGAAATGGAAGTGGAAGCAAATCATCAAACAAACAACATCGTCTTGTTACCTTAAAGTTAAACACAGTATTATTTACAGGATTACACATTGGCTTCCATGACTTGTAAATCATCTCCCGCTGTTGTGGTATTGAAGGATGAAATCAGTTTTAACACACACCAATCACCTCGTTATCACGAGAAAATGGCCTCGTTATCTTCAGAAAACGAGAAAATTTACTTGTTTCTCCAGAAACCCCCTTGAAGAAGTATCAGAGGGACTTCCTTATATGAGTCAAACAAGCTAAAGCAGCTGGGTTGTCTTCAGCTTGACTATTTCCTCATACAATCCCTGAAGGTTAAGGATAAACTAATTAACTGAAGAGCTATTGATTTCTAATTAGGCAAAGGATTTAATGAAATATGAACAAATGTTCAGTTTGACTGTAATTTTGTATTATGAAATGGTTTGAACACATTCCAATTGTTCTAAATTAGTTAAAAGCTAATTTGACCTCATTCCAAACTCAATTAAGACAAACTTTCATTCACAGAAATGATATTAATGCCAAACTGGGATATCGTTGCATCATTTTATTGATTATGGTTTTAAACTCATTTTCATTCCTTTTTCCTTGTGTATATATAGAATAGCTATTTGAGTTGAGTTTCATTAGTAGTCAGGAGTAAAATATGTTTGACTTGGAGTTGAATTAATATTGCTAATAAATTCTTACATTTTGAGTGGAAGTTGTTGTAAATTTATTCCATATGTGTTTAGGAATAACTGTTTGACACCCATATATTTTCTATTCAGACTTTCATTTGTTGTCTTAAAGTTGCTCTTGTGTTCACACAACACAAAATATTTGATTAACTGACGTACTGTAAATGACATCACTCATCTTTTATAAACATGTCGTCATATGTTACTCGGTGATGATCTGCAATATGGGGATATCGGTGATGAGGTGTGTGGACCTGTGCCATAGTGTTTTTTTCTTTGGGTCAGAACATTTTAATTTGGCTCTTATTTGACCAGAGAACCTTCCTCCATCCAGAAGATTTTTCATCTGTTTTACCATTTCAGAGGAACCATTGCCCTCAATTTCTTTGATGCCACCTCAGGTTTCTGGATTCAATTTCAAAAAGGGTAAGGGATAGATTTCCCTCCTTTGCCAGTTGTAACTTCTTTTCCATTTGAAACCATATCTGAAGACCAAGCTACTGAAATCTCTGCTTGTGTAATTACATCTTCTACTGCCAAGTATTGTACTGATATACATCCTGATCTGGAGAATTAATCTTATTGTCAGGTTCCATCTAAATGAACAGCAGATTTATTAAAATATTGCTTCATAGGGGTCTGCTATTTCAAAAATGGGTCACTGTACCAAGACATTAAGGCCGGTTTTATTTTATGGCAAACAGTTTCCTGTAAAATGGCACATGATGAAAGTGGTCTTTTTTGGGGTAAAAAAAAGATACCAAAAGTTTTTAAAATATTTATTTTGGACTCATAAGATATGTTGCTGATTACATTAGAATTATTCATGTGTGTCATGTGTGAAGAAACCCCTAATCTGTCAATCCAGTCCCATTAAAACCCATTTCT